AAAAGTAACGATGAATGCAGTTCGTATGTGACATTTTATACTAATCATATGAGTTATACTCTATCATGCATGAAGGCATATTGCATTAAGACGAGAAGAAAACGATGAAGAAAGTAAATGATTATTTATTTGCTTCGTTACATGAGCAAATGAAAACTGCGTAGAACAAAGTTTTGTTGATATATGAATATGCCAGATGTTTGAAATAGATATTTCAGTTTACGTTGTAGATTAAGTCAATTTAACCAGCGTATATAATCGTATTTCAAAAGTGTTCTCGTGAGAACTGAATATTCATATTAATCAACTTTGATTTCGAATAAGACTGATTAAAATAACTATCAGATATTTTCTTATCATCGAAGAAACTAACAGAGACTTCGTAATCGAGAATAATTTAAAGACACAAATCTGTTAAGATTAATTGTTCGATAGAATTTTCAGTTAGACTATTTTTTTTTGTAATTAATTGATCTCGATAAACATGCATGAATGCTGAGTGTTGACATAATTTCGGTTGGTTTTCAAGATTACAAATAAAAAAATCTAAATCAATGTTCTACATGCGAAAGACTTTTGTTTAATAATTTATAGAGGTAACAAGTTTTTTATATGCTATTAGAGCACGGCCAAATAATTTACTCTTATCTGTTGAAATAGGTTCCATTCGTATGATAAATTTTAATTCATAGTTGTCCTTCAAATCGATTGTGACTTTTCTTTCTTTTTTTTATTTGATAAAAGTTCCAGTACAAATTCATCTAATTTTTTATTCACACAATCCGACATAGTAAGAGCCAAGCACAACAAGTCTGACACCTATTCAAAATCAATCATTTACAATATGCCTGAACTGCTTGATTAGTCCGAACTAAGAAAATATTAGAGAAACTGATCAACATTTATTTAATGTACTTAGGAATTCTTTTTTCTACATTTTCATCATACACAACTGTTCAAAGTATTAAACAACTAATACAAAAAAGAATAAAAAATGAGAATTTCAATGAAAACTCTTACGGAAAACCTTCGTAAGACTAATAAGATGTGGTTGGCAAGTATATAACGTTCGAGAATACTTTTAGAAAAGTAAAACTGGCAAGTTTAAAAGAATGGTGCATTGTAGAAGATATGAGTCTATATATCATCAAATTTTTTAAACATAACTGTTTGGTTCACACACTGATACAATTTTATAAGAAGAGTTTTTTTCATGCATGTAGTTCTGGAGAAGATTGAAGGAGATTTAAAGAATGATTCTGTGTAGGATTTGAATAATGTAAAAATTGAAAAACATAAAATAAAAGACAAAGATTTCGAGCTGAGATGAAACCAGTACCGATAGTAGACATCAACATTCCAACCTGGTTCTGTTTATGACTTCAAGAACCTGATTATTGTGAATAATTGGTAACTAGAGCCGTTCAAAACATAGTCAATATTGTAAATGTTCAATTTCAGCAAAGTTGAATCTTTAAGTCGAAAAATTGTTTTTCGTCGCTAGAGAGTGTGTGTAAGGATGTGACAGTAAACAGAGAAGCCACACATTCATGATCCACTAGCACGTCTACGCACTTCCGATACAGCGCTTAATTCATTTGTAGCATACTTGTTTTTCTTTGTATTTGATTGCCGTAAGCAGGTACTTGCCAGTCGAAATACATTCTTATTGCAGATGTACACCGAATGCACCGTGTTTACTCATCAAGTAGATATTTGAGACCGAACTTACACGCTTATTGATGTTACAAAGGGCTAAACTTTGGATCAACACTATAGTAAGTTGACTTGTAAAATTTTGGGAAATAATGGATATCATCGAGCAAATGAATATGTTGGACAAGATAGGCACAAAGTCTTGAGAGAGTTTTCTGGTGAATTTTGTAAAGTTACCGTCACTGGCGAAGACAAAATAGCTTAAATATGATTTGCTGTGATTCTAAGAATATACCTTATGAAAGATAAAAAAACAGACAGTTTGTTTTTAAATGAACCATGATGTAATTCTAAAGAATATCCGATGACCAAATAAAATTATTCGATAGTTTTTAAAAAATAAAATAAAAATCGAAGTATGGAATCTTACCAAAAAAAAGTTTTAAAATATGAATCTTTGGAAAGAAAGTAGCATATGAAAAAAACATGGACTGTGATCCTGAATTTGATCTATGAAACACTGGCCTATTCGATTAAATAGCTAAGAGGATGGCTTTTGACAAAAAATTATGATATATTTACATCTTAATGATTGACTCAATTTTACACATGAATTGCAGATTATTCAAGCTACATGTCTTAAAATTAGATTGTCGCTTTGTTTTCGGATTTTTAAAGGGAAAGAATTTGTAAATTCGTACACTGACTTATTAGAATTTTTGGTCCTAGGAGTCGTAATACCTAAAATAAAATGAAAAATTATATTGAGAGACTCATTTTCTCCAAACGAAATCATTCGCTTTCAACGTAAATATAATAACTTCGAACAAAGTCAATATTCGATATTTTCGGGTTTAAATTTTTTCCATGATCAATCTAATGTAGTACTTCTATTTATATGACGACAATAAGAGTAATAATTGATTTACTTCAATTAGTACGCCATATGATCTTCTTACTGTGTTATTAACAGTAGAAGTTTTTGCTTTAGCTGTTTTGACTTTATAACCAAAATATAACTCTTAAAAAATCTCGAGAAACTATATTTCGAGTAATAAACAGATTCAGTAGAAGTTTTGGACCTCTTCAACATCAAGAGCAACTATCACCAGTTTTTTTTTACCGTTAAGAACTATTGGTATTAACTACAAACTCTATTTATCATAATAGAAAAAAAACATTAGAAGCTCGCATCTAAAAATAGCACTCACTGTCATTGCAATATCAACATTGGTCATTCAACAGCGATACTTCAATCATCCGTTTAGCCTCTCGCTATCAAAGCTAGCTGAAAATAATATTGTGTTTAGGAAAAAAATAAATCTTTTTTTTTTCAGAAAAAAAATAATAAGAATGGATTCTATTCCTGTTATTGTTTGCCCTAAATAAATTCATGCGTGAAACTTGTAATGTATGACATAATGCGGTGCTGTTTATTTTAGTGATAGTACTGAAAAATCTGAGAGTATCGCATAATTTTGTCGCAAAGCACATGGCGTATTTATACATCGTAAAAAGTAAGATATTCGGTTATATACTGTACTCTGTGTTAATAATATTTAATATCTTTGTATTTGATATGATAGTACATATACAACGTGTTCGTTGTGACTTTAAAGTGAGGGATGAAAAGTAAATTTAGTCACACAAATCAATAATAGACATTTTTGACATTATTCTTGCCAGATATTTGTGTCCCTTGATAATTAATTAATACTCTTTTTACATATCGATTAGTATTGTTTGTGCCAGCTTAGAAAATAAAAATGATAGACGCTGACTCGATTCTTTTTACTGACGAAAATCAAAATAAATATCACCGACAGAAAAGTTTAAGACAATCATTGCAACATACATATATTCAATGAATACTTATCCAATATTAGCAGAGTCCAGAGGTGACAAAAACTCTTGGGACACTGGAAAACAGATATTTAAGTTGACTCTAACTTGAAGTATATGTTTGGGATTATTATTGACCTACATCATGAAAACAAAAATTCTATAAAAGAAAATCCGTAAACCTTTCAAGGGTTTATGTGGATATCATATACTCTTCAAGAATTTATGAGTCGAATGAACTAAAATAAATAGTATGTGTATATGAAAATACTACTTGTGTGTCTACGAAAATGTATTCGAATAATTTTTCATTTAATATTCACCCAACTGGACTCTATTTACCTGTAGATGATGCTAGGTTACATTTCAAATCTGAATCAATCTATTTGAAGATAATGAAGGTGTATTTCACGTTATTTTCATATTATTTTTATTCTAAAGTGTCGATAGAACATCATCGAGTATTTTACCATTTTGTTGTTTTAGAATGGTCCATCTGTACAATGCCGTGATAATCATGTAATCGTTGCATTAGCGAAAAGTATTTTAAACTATTTCCCAACAGGATTGACGCAATATATCAATACATTTCTGTCTTTTTCACAAATTTACAACATGATAATATTATAGAAACTTTAAATTATACAATCAGATCCAAAACAAATCTGTTTTGGAATACCTGTTAGTTTATAAGACATGTACGACACGTTAGTATAGATACAAATACTTCAATTTCCATGTGAATATTTGCCATTGTAAAAAATAAACCTTAAGAAAGTATACATCGTTTTTTTCTATTTGGCAGACATTTTTTATTACTCTCGTACACTTCTTTCATCTGAAGAAGCAGTAGAAGACTTCATATACATATACTTACTAGTCCTGTCAAAAAAAGAATGAAAGTTGATCTTGTTATCATTCAGAAAATGTTATTTATTATTCTAATTATATGTTGCTAGCTATTTTGCATCATGGCAAAAGGAAATCCAAATTTCTCTTGCTCAAATAAGAGTGCAGATATATATGAAGTTCATTCTTTAAGTTCTTGCTGAGCTAGACAAACCCAATAGCCAGCACCGAAAGGAAAGGCATCATCATTGAAGTTGTACGTTGGAGAATGAAGTGCACCAAATGAAATTCCATTTCCAATTATAATATATGCACCTGGTTTTCGTTCAAGCATTTCAGCAAAATCTTCACCACCCATATCTTTTGTCATGTTTCCATCGATATTTTCTGCACCTACGAGATTTTCAGCTGCTCTAATAGCGCGTTCCGTACACTGAACATGATTGACTAATGGAATCCCTTCTCGAAGATATTTCACCTCAACCTTACAGTCATAGGTAGTGGCAAGACCATAAGCTAATTCCTTCATGCGTCGTTCGATTGTGTCTCTCGCTTCTTTGGTAAAACTACGAGCAGTACCACCAACACGAATTTCTGATGGTAACACGTTCAATGAATCAAAAGAGCCACTTTGGACAGCGCCAACACTAATTACCGTTGAATCGGTCGGTGAAATGTTGCGACTAACAATCGTCTGCAATGATAGAATAAATTGTGCTAGTGGTACTGTTACATCAGAAGCCAAATGTGGTGAAGCGCCATGACCACCAGTCCCTCGAAAAGTAGCAAGCCAAGTGTCTGCTGCTGCTAACATTGGACCAGATCGAATAGCAAATTTACCAATGGCTATATCTGGTCCGCTATGCATTCCATAGATGGCATCCATTGGAAATCGGTCAAACAGTTTATCGTTAATCATATTAAGGGCGCCATTGTCTTTTTCTTCAGCCGGTTGAAAGATAAAGTAAATAGTTCCACAGAACGAATCTCGATGTTCTGCCAAATATTTTGCCGCACCTAGTAACATTACCGTGTGTCCATCGTGGCCACAAGCATGCATGACACCAAGAGTCGTAGAAATATAGGATACATCATTTTGTTCTGTGAGTGAAAGAGCATCCATATCAGCACGGAAACCAATAGAACGACTACCTGATGCGTTACTTTTCAACATGCCAACTACGCCTAAACCGCCTATTCCTTCCGTGACAGTGACACCCCATTGCTTGAGTTTATCAGCAACGAGAGTAGACGTACGTACCTCATGCAGTGCCATCTCTGGATGAGCATGAATGTCCTGACGAATGAGAGCCAGTTCTGGCTGCATAAGACGCAGTTTGTCAAGTAAAGTTTCGCCCATTCCCTCTATTTATTGTGAACTTTGTAAGAACTGTGTTATTATTTAAGTATCAGCAATCTGAAAGAACAAGATAGATAGAAAGATAAGAAAGAAAACAAAAGAATAGCAGATAAGAAACAAAACCAAAATGGTGGATTCTCAATTTCTTGCAACACGTTAGTCTTCAATAATGAAAAACAATTTCACCTGTGTTCAATGGATATTGTTTAGAAATAAACCCAAAGTATCAACCTTGATCAGTAGTGGATGGTTACACCAATCTATATGGATTTTGTTTCTGTTATTTGTTAAAAAAGTGTTTGTACTTGACTTTATGGGAGATGAAGTATTTCTTCTATAAATGAAACAATGTTTTGCTTTAGGAGGGCATTGTCCAGCTCCCCTAGGTATATATGGATCCTCTGTTCATCCTCAGTCAAATCTGCTTACCCATATTCTGGAACAGAAAAAAAAACTCTGACGATCAAAGTGAAAGCAATATAATTCAAGCAAGATTCTATAGGATCAAGATGATTGTGTATATGAAGAACGTGGGGCTAAAACGTTCATAATATAAATGACTCAGTGCAGTTGAGAAAAGGAAAGTTATTCAGTTCTACACAATTATTTTATTCATCCTTACATTTAAAAAAACATCATTTGAGAAGTTTTTTTCACACGTTGAATATCTCTTGAAACGATGAAATTCAATCGATCACATTGATATAACTTGAAATTCGACTGCTTGTCTCAACCCTTCTTGAAGTATTGTTATTTTCTTCACTAATTCTTCATCTTGTAGAATATTTCCCAAAATTTTCAATGTAATTTTCTTCAATAGAAAACAATTATCTACCAATCTTCTCCATTCATTTAAATCTAATAATTTATTTATATTATATTTATTAGTAATTAATCGAACATCTCGAATATTAGACATATCTTGAATAAAATCAATTGTTGTCATCAAAAAACATGATTCATTCTGTTGTAAGCAATCGTTCATAGAAGATAATGGAAAGTGACTTATATCAAGAAGAAAATGTTCAATTCCAATGTTTTTCGAGAATGTCATATTGTACTGATTTGAAAAATAATGAGAACAAACTAATGCTGGACAATGAACTTCAAATCTTTTGATTGAACGACGAAGATATTCGAAGATACGATTCAAAAACCCAACACTCACCTCATTGTCATACCAAAGAGAAAGACGAATCAAATTAGGAAAATATGTTTCGCACTTGTTAATTGAATTTATTTCTTGAAAATTGAGAAGAGTTAATGAGATGACATTAGTCGAAATAACTAATGACTCTAATTCTGGTTGTGTCCAATACCAAATTGTATTAAGACGTAAAGAGACAATTTGTTTAGGCTTGAGTTTTCGAAGAATCATATTAATGAATTCATTGGCAGGTTGATAAATCTCTACTTTTGCTTCATATTGACGAAGTAATAGAAGAATATTAGTGGAAAATACATTGATTGCATCATTTAATGTGAGATATTTGGCAATTTCAAGTATGATATCGGAAGAAAGACCAATTTTAGTAATAAACTCAAATGACTGAAACGAAATGAACAACACATAAAAGAATGTTTTGTGATTCGTTTGATTTTTTAGAATTGTGATCTTTTTGGTATACTAATTACAATTAATGGAATCAATAAAAGAAAAACTCACTAAGATTCGTTCATTTTCATCACATTTTTCTTTGAAAATAGCCAATTCATTGAGTATATTTTCTCGATTAGATTTTTCTTGAGTTCGTATTAAAGTATCACCTTTGAGCAATAATTTTATTTGATATTCAGATATTAATGAATCATTATTTTTCTCTACAAATAGTCGCATAATCCCAAAAAGCATTGGATATTGTTCCACGTTGAAACTATCGGGAAGTTGAGTCGAGAACATTTCTTTCCAAAGTTTTTTCAATATAATTGAAAAAGAAAACTTTCTCTTTTTATAAAAGAGATGTATGCCACCTCAAAATATCTAATTTCATTTTCGAAAGAGAATTAAAATCAATAGAAAAGAAAAATTTTTTTTTTGAACGAATATTTTAGACTTTGATAAATGTATTGTTAAGGTATTCACTTTACATAATGATAGATTATTAATGACTTACGCATTTCTATTTGATTCTAGTGTAATATCCCATGGCCAAACAATGTAATTTTCAAGTAAATAATCGATAATGATTGTCGAACAAAATATTCTATAGCAAAATATATTATTGAACATACTTTTATCGTTATGTAAATAGACAAGTACTGGACGACGCTAAATTAAAATACATTTGTATGTTTATTTTATCTAATCATAAGAATATATGTGAACGAACTTCTTGAATTACTGTTGATTTGAAAGCTTCTTGACATGCATCTTGAAGAGAACCTGCGAAGAATGCTGGACAAGCATCATAACGTCGTTCGAAACATTTATAAAAAGATTCAATACCAATAATTTCATTCAGACATTCGTCAGGAACTTAAAGATAATATATTAGTCAGTAAATCTATCTTTGTTTTTATAATAAATGAAAAAAAAACTACTTACAAGGACCTGAATCGATAATTTCATCATTACCTACAAAATCATGATTGTCACTCTCATCTGCATCACTATCCTAAATGGAGAATGAATAGAATTATATTAGAACTTTGTTAATACATGTATCGATATTTGAGAATTTCACTGCCAAAATCTAAGAAAAAAAGACCGAAGTTTTCATTGATGAAAAATAACATTTTCGTATAAGATGATATAGAACGTATCCAGGTGGGATTATTTCTGTAGATAATACTTAATGAGACTATTTGTATATAAACAACTGATGTTTTCTTCTTCATATTGTAATTTATTTTTATGAATTGAGAATTCAACAACAAGTTTTTAATAATCGGTTTGTTATTAAAATTTTAAATATGGACATGAAGATGTTATTTAAATAATTAAAAAACAAACTTACCATTATAGCAGTTTCTTGATACATGTTAATCAGACATGATCTTATTTGAGACATTTTTCGTCTACTAATGAAATAAGTTCTTTTAATTTAATTCCTTTATTTCTTCGTACATTTACATACTAGCAAAAAACTGCTTCCTTCTTCAAATATCAGTGAATAATGCATTTTGTTTTGCTGTAAATAGTTTCGAGCATAAGTATATAAGAAAAAAAAACAGAACAAAAAACAAGAGGGGCAATGTTTCTTTTTTCTTATCTATTCTCCATATTGTGCAAGCTCAACTCGTGGCAATCGAAAAGAAATAGATTGCCTTATCCTATCCTCAGGTGTGCATAGAAAGAACGCAATGCATATCGAACAAGGTCATATTATGACTTTATATACATTTTATAAAGAAATTAATGAATATTAGATGATTATCTAACAATGCGACTTCGAAAAACTAATAATTGCAAGAACAAAACACATCTTAAACGTGAGAATAAAAGCACAATAAAACAGATAGAATTCTACACACTGAATGCTAGATTGTGAAGAACATAAGTTATTTGATGGATTAATTTGAAAAAAAAAACATGTAAGAAGCTTTACAAAACATTGTGAATCACTTAATATGAATATACATATGAGAATATGAGAATACATTTTTTTATAATCGATGAACACGACTTTTTAATAAAGTGCTCAGCACTTCTACATAAAAAATAGCGTAGTAAAAGCCAATAATTAATTATCTTAAACTATCATTCAAG